TCTAACATGAGATACCAAGAATGGAAGAGTTTTCTAAAACAACAAAAGATAAGGGTAATAAAAATTAGAACCGATTGCCCAACTAGGTGGAATTCCACCTATGACATGTTAACAAAGGCAATTGAGTACAAGGGCCCGTTAACATTATTTTACAACCAAAAATTTCCACAAAATGCTTTGTATGATGATGATTGGAATAACTGTGAAAGATATATGCAATTTTTACAGTTATTATATAACATGACGTATTGTTTTTCTACTGTTTACAATCCTTGTGCTCAAAACTTTCTTTCTAATGCATGCTTACTCGCCCAACTTTTCGCTGATCATCGCGATCAAAGTGATTATGATCAGTATCTTCCAGCAATGGAAAAAAAGTGGCGTAAATATTATAGTGAGATTCCTTTGATTTATATTTTTGCTTCCATATTAGATCCTAGGCAAAAGTATGAAAACACATTTATGTTAGTTGACATTTACTTTCAATGCATGTTTCTTGACGATGATGTAGAAAACTATAAGACTAATGTGAAGGATCAGTTTTTTGCTTTATATAGAGTCTATGAAGCCAAATATGGCACCGTTCCTCGCTCAGGGCCTTCCCAACCATCTAAAAACGTAAGTAAGAAGGCCAAACATTTATTTTCACAAGCTACTAACTTGATTTCAAGGTTTTCAGGTGATTCATCAATCAGGAGAACGCAAAGCGACGTCTCGGAGTTGCAGATGTACCTGAGTTACGACTTCACCAAAGGCATGGACGACGATGAGATAAACAGCCTCGACCTCCTTGCATGGTGGAAACAACAAAGCTCGAAGCATCCAACTTTGGCGGCAATGGCACGAGACATTCTTGCTATCCAAGTTTCCTCCGTCGCCTCCGAACGAGCTTTCAGCGCATCCGGAAGGGTTTTAGACGATAGAAGAACAAGTCTAAAACCCGAAACACTAGAAATGTGCGTGTGTTTCAAAGATTGGTTGGATGCGGAAAATCGCTCACAAGACCGTTCTTACGACCACAACGACAACGAAGAAGGAACCTCCGCTTCCGGTTCGGGTTCGGCTAGTTCCCAATCTATGCAACTAGCCGATGACCTTGAAGGCGAAGGCGAAGACGAAGACGAAGACGAAGACGAAGACGAAGACGAGCAAGAAGAAGGAGAAGAAGAATAGACAATTATTGTATATTGTACGATTTTAAAAATATCAATTTTATCATTTTCCAATTTTTGTTTAATACCATCATTGTATGATTTTTATCATTGTTATCATTGTACAATTTTCTCAACTCAAGTAATAATAATATAAAGTACGCATTATTCACATCCAAAGTCCAATTTGCCTTTTTTTCCCCGTTTTGTTACAATTTGTAAATTCATATTAAAAAAAAATAAAATTATACCAATTACTAATAAATCATAAACATTAAATTTTAAAGTAATAGTATAAAGTAAATATATAAATATAAATATTGAATATACAAATTATAAAACATAAATATTCAACTTATAATTATAAAATTCATAACTTAATAACTTATAACTTATAAGTTATAAACTTATAAGTTACCTTATAAAACTTATAATTATAATTTTATAACTTATATACATTATAAACTTATTAATTAATAATGTTGTCATTAAAAAAAAAAAAAAAAAAAAAAAAAAAAAAAAAAAAAAAAATTGGAAACTGCACCAGCCCGCGCGGGCCAGCCCGCAGCCCGGCACGTGGCCGGCACGGCACGAGCCCGCCAGGCACGAGGGCCGTGCCGTGCCGTGGGCTGGCTTGTGAAAATGGCCGGCACGGCACGGCACGAAATCCTGGGCCCGCCGGCACGACCGGCACGGCACGAACCAGCCCGCGGCCCGGCACGGCACGGTGCCCAGGATTACTCTATGCATTTGCATAGTGCTCTTCCAATTGAGCTAATAGGTTTTATCATATGTTCTAAATATTATATGCATATGTTCTAAAATTTATTGCTTAAGCTCTAAATTTTTCAATCTAAGCTCTAAATATATGTATGTTCTAAACTATTTTCCTATGTTCTACATTTTATTGTTTATGTTCTAAATTTTTCTGTCCATGTTCTAAACGTATATCCTATATTCAAATTTTTTTGTCTATGTTCTAAATTTATTTCCCATGTTCTAAACCTATGTTCTAATTTTTTTCCGTATGCTCTAAATTTTATCCTTTGCTCTAAATTTTTTCTACCTATTTTCTAATTTTTTTTTTTCCATACGTTCTAAATTTTTTCTATCTATGTTCTAAACTTTATCCTATGTTCTAAATTTTTTCACCCTATGTTCTAAATTTTTAGTATATGTTCTAAACTTATTTTCTATGCTCTTATTTTTTTTTTTCCCAATATTCTAAATTTCCAATTTTTTTTTTCCTATGATCTAATTTTTTTTTCCCAATGTTCTAATTTTCTATGTTCTAAATTTTTACTACGTTGCAAATCATTTTCTTATGTACCAAATTTTTCCTATGTTCTAAAGTTGTTCGTATATTCTACACCTATGTTCTAGCTATGTTCTAAATTTTTTCTATATATGTTCTAAAATTTTCTCTCTATGTTCTAATTTTTTTTTTCTATGTTTTAAATAATTTTTGGCCTATGTTCTAAACTATCCTGCCTATGTTCTAGTATTTTTTTCCTATGTTCTAAATATATTCTACCTATGTTCTAATATTTTTTTTTTTCCTATGTTTTGTTCTAGATTAGTTTTCCTATGCTCTAAATATTTCTGCCTATGTTTTAAATTCCTATGTTCTAAATTTTTTATTATCTTCTAAATTTTTTTTAAATATGTTCTAAAAATTCCTATGTTCTAAAAATTTTTATATGTTCTAAATTCTTATGTTCTAATTTTTTTTTAATATGTTCTAAATTTTTCTATATGTTCTAAACCCTATATTCTAAAATTTACTCCTATATTCAAGTTTTTTTTTTCTGCTTACGTTCTAATTTTTTATTCCAATGTTCTAAATTTAGCCTACTTATGTTCTAATTTTTTTTTTTTTGCCTACTCCTATGTTCTAATTTTTTTTTTTTTTTTGCCTACTCCTATGTTCTAATTTTTTTTTTTTTTGCCTACTCCTATGTTCTAATTTTTTTTTTGCCTACTCCTATGTTCTAATTTTTTTTTAGCCTACTCCTATGCTCTAATGTTCCCGGCAATCCCTGTGAAAGTTGCCCCTTGCACAGGAATTGCCGGGAATAAAAGTTCTAGCGTACTCCAGAATGGGTGCAAACAGTTCCTCTTTCGACTTCATTACCAATTCACCACTACACCACCGCCAATCCACCACATCCACCCTTCAAAAATCCCCTTTTCCAACCTCTAATTCTCTCCTCTCATACTAAGTAGCACAACTAATTAAAAATATGCTTTCACAACTTGTAACAACATAATTCCAATGAAGGGAACACACAAATCAAATATGTCTAATAAACTGATTAAATTCATGGCTAAGCTAAGCATACTTTTCATAATCAATTAATCATGCACATTATATCAATTCTACCAAGTAATGGTTTTATATCACAGCCACTTAAATAGGCTAAAAAAAATTTAATAAAAAGAAAATCATTGATTAAAAAATTATCAAGACAGAAATAGCTTACACCAGCAGGGAGCTTGGCAGCTCGGACTCTGAAGGCGCCATGTTTAGTCCCTGCTCCGTGATTTCGGTGGCGAAGGCGGCGGGCCAATGAAGAAAGTAGTGATAAGTTAGTAGGTGCAGCTGCGAGTTGCGGTTGTTTCAATGGATTAACCAGAAACTGAGAGTTGAATGGAGCCACGGATGCCATTTGTTTGAATGAGATTATTATGGAATGAAGGTTGCTTGAACATAAAAAATATTATCCTACTTGGATTAGGAGCAACACCAATTACCACCGTCACCAACCTCCTCCAACCACCGTCCACTACAACAACCACAACTCATAGCCACCCAACACCGCAAGCAGCCGCGCACCACCAAATCACCATTCAGCAGCACCCTACGCTGCTCCTAACCACCGCACCACCATTACTCACCCTCGACCTCCACCATCACTCACCAAAAATGACGCCAAAAAAGACAAAAAAAAATTGAAAAAATGGACTGAAATTATCTAATAATCAAGAGTAGCGGTGAAATTACCTCATATTGCTGAAATTCAAACACTAAAATCGCTTAAATTCGAAGATTAAAATCGCTGAAATTCCAGCCCTAAAATCGTTGAAGTTTGAACCCTAAAATCGCCGAAAATTAATGAAAATCAAATCAGAAACATGAACAATCAACTTTAACTCATGCAAAATTCATGAAAATCAAATCAAAAAATCGCAAAAAATTAAATCACAAAAATCGAATAAATAAAATCGCAAAAATCATATTGAAAAATCGCAAAATCTAGTTAAACATCATGCTAATTTCATGAAAATTTGAACAAAATCGAAAAAATAAACATACCTGATTTGAAAGGGGTTTGAGGAAAGAGAAAGTGATGAACACGAAGAGAGAGAAAGTTAGAGGAGAGAGAAAATTTTGGACGGTTGGTAAAGGATTTGAGGGAGGATATGTGTTTTAATCTTAACCGTCCAAAGTAATTTAATCCTACGGCTGAGATTGGTTCCTATATAACTAGGGTGCTTATATAAGGAGGGGTTCTTACCGAATTCATCCCCTATATATATATATATATATATATATATATATATATATATATATATATATATATATATATATATATATATTCAGAGGCTTAGTTCTATTCTGAAATTAGTTATCTATGCTCTCTGTTTATTATTTTCTTGTGATCTCCGTATTTAACACTTTTGAATATATTCTGATTCCATTGCTTATTAATTACATGTTCAACTTTATTGCTATTAGTATTACATTTCCTACTGCCTATTTCATAACAAGGTGAAGGTTGTAAATGTATCAAAGTGACCAAAGTGGACAGTTAATATATATTGATTTCTCTTTAAATCTATAACACACATAAGTTGATGCTTTTATATTACCAGTGTTACATTTCTGTGCATGTTTTGACCTGCACATTGATCATTTTTTGTTTGAAACTTTTATCTTTATTTTTATGTTTATTTTTGCTAAACAAATGAACTACAACTTTGCAATGTAGGAAACAATATTAAAGATAGATCACTTGCTCTATCTTTACCTTGATTAATATTCACCCAAACAATGTAGAACTAATCTCCAACAACTGCTTAATACTATGAGGAGCAAATTTGCGAGCAAAAATATAGCACATGTTAGTAAATTGGCCACCAATAGTACAATTATCCCTGAACCTCATATGTTGAATCAAATCTGCTGAAATATTAGACCTTGGTCCTAACATGGTAGGATGGCGGTTGCCCTTCCATTCAGTCCAAGTCAAGCTCCAATTCGAGTTGCGCTCTGGATGATAACGCATAACCAAAATCTGAACATAATGTTCATCTTGGAAACTACCATGATCTCGAAACACTGAGTAATATTCGTTGTCCGAAAGGATGTCTATGGATAAAACTCGGTCCATGACAACCCATTGAGGACCCTTGTGCCACTGCCATCTCTTGAGGGGTGGGTCCATCTTGCCCCGCCATCTGTAAATGCTGGACTTTTCGAAGACAGGTACAATTCCTACGAAGCTCAGATTGTTATTGATCAGTAGGTAGTCGTAGATTGTTGAGAAGTTGTACAAGGGGATGCAGGCTTCCGAGAGGAGGATGAATTTTTCGTTTGAGTAGTCTAGCATTGCTGAGGCTAGTAATCGTCTTTCAGCATCAATCATTGATATGGTTCCCCACTCCACAATCTGCACTTGTAATCATTAGGATTGCATATAAAAAGCTAAAAGTAGTACGTTATATTAATCAATAACCTAATCATTAAGTTATAATTTCCTAATGTACCATTTTAGAATATTTATTTGATGATGCATTGTATACATCAAATATGATAAATGATCAAATTAAATCAGTGTAGCATATGTATCGATTGCTGTAAAGGAACTAACGTACCTTGCTAGGAATCCTTCTACCATGGAAGACAGAATCCTTAGGCATAGGATCAGTGTAATTAGGATGAGTATGGATGTAAATAGAAAATTTATCTTCATGTCCTTTAAAGAACATCTCCCATAGAGGAGCTAAAGGTAGGGGACCTCTTGTCAAGAACATGAAGGCAAGCTTTGGAACACGTTGAAATGGGTACTCCGGTATCTGAGGCACCATTGACGCCCGCCATAACAACTCTGCATCATCCTCTATATAATGCAACAGTTCCTTCCCTGACTCCTCTTCGCGTAGTGTAGGCAGGGATGGAGGGGAGGGGGAGGTGGTGATGGTGGTGGTGGAGGCGATGGTGAGGGCGTCAATGGTGTAGATGCTAACGCTGCTTGAGTAACATGTGAGGATATTGATGTTGTGCATGCTGTTGCTAACAACTGATTCTAATTTGTAATGTAATAAAAGCTGAGGATGTAAAAACAGGATGTAATTCCAACAGACAAACCAACTACAAAGAAGATAAATTTGGACACAGAACTTGCTGTTGTTTTTTGATGATGTTGATGATTACCCATTTTCATTACATCCTAAGTTGCATAACACGAGTAATTAAGAATGAATGAATAAATCAAAACGGAAGTGAATAAATCGAAACGGAAGTAATTACATAATCTAAGGAACAAGGGTGGAAAAAGGTTCAGAAATTCTTCAACAAACACTAAAAAGCATGAGTAGAAAAGTGATGAGATAAGAACATGTAACATGTTTATATAGTCATGGATTCCTCCGTAAAAGAAGTGAAAAAAGACTTGTAATGCAATAAATCGTGAATAAGGCCAAATTTGTTGAAGAGTTTCAAGTATACAGGCCAGATCTTAAGCAACCTACACTTTATGTAAAACAAGTAGGCACATAATCACAAGAAGTCAATATGTTATTAAACTTAATATATTATTAAGACTCGTTAGTCGCTATGATTAGTAGAAAGCTTAATGAAAAGCTCTATCTTGACTATCTTCAATGGGTTTTGATCCTTGTAATATGTATTATGTTAGTATAGGTAGTATTAAATAACATTCACTTATCATTTCAATGATAGAGTGAGGGATAGCTCAAGTGGTTAGAACTTCCCTCTCGATTAGGGATGTCAGTGAGGCGGGTCTCTTATACCATACCCGTCATGGGTGATGGGGCGGGGGTGGATTTTAGGTTGTACCCGCCCCATCCCCGCCCCGCCCCACCCGCCCCACTTCGTACCTGCCCCATCCCCACCTACCCCACTTCGTACCTGCCCCATCCCCACATCCATATATTTTTAAAAACAAAATTATATACTTTTATAGTATTTTATAAAAAAAATTATGTAAAATAAAATAGTAAATATAATACTTTGTAATACACTTATATTATAAACAAAAAAATGTGCAATATTAACAATAATTTTTTTCTTTTTGCAATCTTTACTAATTATGAAGGATTGTCTATTTGGGAGGCGGGGATTAGGCGGGTCTTAGGTGGGGATTAGGCGGGGGTTGGGGCGGGGATGGTTTTGGAATTGTACCAGCCGGGGTGGGGATGGGGATGAATTTTAGATCCGCTGCGGAGATAGGGATGGGGATGGGGATGAAAATTTTAGATGGGGATGGGGATGGGAAGGCCAACATCCGCCCCGCCCTGCCCCATTGACATCCCTACTCCCGATCCCAATAGATCTTAAGATCAATTCTCATCACCGATTTTTGCGGCTCTCTAAACACCATAAAAACATACCATTTCAATCAATTATTATTACGATGTTAACATTGGTCGTAATAAAACATCAGGTTGTTTTTTTTTTTTTTTGACTGGAGTAATAAAACTTAAGAATTAAGGTAGATAACAATGACAATTGTATGTGTGTTAGGTCCATAGGAACCTTGAGCCAATTTTTTGTTGACTTTTTACAAGCAATGCGTTGTGAAATGTTATACTATATGAAAGTTGAGCGGAATTGAGGATCAAATGAAGTCAAAGTCTTCAACTTGAAGAGGAAGCCATTTATTGACTTTATCATTTATGAGTGATAAGGCTTACACAATATTCTAGTCTTTGGTACTCCCTCTGGGTTTTTATAATACAAGTGGTACACTTTTATTGGTATGTAGGTTTAGACAATTTAGTTGAGTTCGAATAAATTAAGAGGTAAGTGAGGTAATTCGAGTATTAAAAAATTGCAAAAGAAAAATAGTTATAAATGTGAGAGAAAAGAAATAATAAAAAAAGTAGTAGTGGATTTAGGTGAGGATCATGAGAGAAGAAAGATATACTCCGTGATTTTAAAATGTAATTTTATTTATTTTTTTATGTCAAAAAAAGAAGTATAACACTTATTAAAACACAACCGTATTAATTGGTATATAACACTTATTAAAATACAGAGGGATATGTCCTTTTAGCTAACGTACGTTTAAATTTCAAATACTGTCACTTCTATATATGAGTAATATTCTTTTCACAAAAAGTTCACAATTAGGAATACTTGTACTAGTTTTTGGAACACTTTACAATTATTAATACGAAATAGTTCCTTCACTCTCCAATTATTTATTCCGAAAATGAGAATCGAGGCAGCATCAATTACAAATGGATAGAAAACGTAATATATAGTCTATAAGGGAAATTATATGTATGATATAATTTTCCGATCCGTATTAATATGATTTGGTAATTCATATCATTAGTATTTAAGTTAGTATTATATGTTGGTAATTGTTTCCCATCTTAGGTTATTTTAAATTTGTATAAATACCTAAACATTTATTAATATTACTCCGTATGATTTATGACAGCACAAATTGGTCTAAACCTTAAAACTTATTATGGTATCAAGAGCCAATGAGATTCATCAAAACTTGAGAGTGAGGGATAGCTCAAGTGGTTAGAGCCCTCTCCCGGTCACAGGTGATCCTAAGATCAATTTTCATCATCCGTCTTTATGGCTCTCTAAACACCAAAAAAAATATTCATCATAACCTTACTTTAAATTTTTTTTTAAAAATATATAAATAAAAAAATCTCTCAAATTGATTTATAGCTTCCACATAATTTTGTGGTTTGGTTTATTGAAGAGGTTACATTCTTTGAACTCTTGATAAGTTTTTTGAACTCTTGATAAGTTGATATGGAGGTCATCCGTTGGATACTTGGATGCCTTCACGTAGAACATGGTTTTTCTTGTCATATCTAAACTAATCAATCAATCAATAATGTAATACTAAAATAGACATTTGAGAGATTATTCCATACACATTCACCTTATAAAATAGTATTCTAAAACTCTAAATACCATGAAATCGGGTTATTATTCCTGCCCATTATATGTGATACATAATTTCAAATACTTATTTGGTTAATAAAAAGAAATTGATACCAACTAATCATTGAATTTTTAAAACACTCATATGATCTAGCATGTAATTTTAATATACTCATTTGTCTAATCGATTCTTTCGTCATATTCGTGTTTCATTTAATTTCATTATATATGCAAAATAAGAAGATAATAAATATGTTATATTTGTATTTTATCTACATTACTTTATAGAAAATAAAAAAAAATTCTTTTATTGATTAAATATAGTGAAATTACTGTGCATAGTATGTAACCTAACCTTTTTTGAAACAAATCAATTCATTAATAAAAAAGTCATCCGTCATCTACAAATGAAATCTAAATTAACAAATACATAAAATTGAATCAAATTAGGGTTTCCGTTGTCAAAGCTACGATCGTTGAAAAGATGTTGCACTGTGGTACATCTCTCGCATACATCGCTGGAATATACAACCTTTTCAGAGAGACGGTCGAATGATTTGTTGTAGCCGTAAGGATGATTTTCATCTGATTCGCTTGAACGCATTTGAAAACTTGACAATCGTTGCGATCCCGAACAAATTTATATGTGATACATAATTTCATTTGATTCTTTCGTCATATTCGTGTTTCATTTAATTTCATTATATACGCAAAATAAGAAGATAATAAATATGTTATATTTGTATTTTATCTACATTACTTTATAGAAAATAAAAAAATTCTTTTATTGATTAAATATAGTGAAATTACTGTGCATAGTATGTAACCTAACCTTTTTTGAAACAAATCAATTCATTAATAAAAAAGTCATCCGTCATCTACAAATGAAATCTAAATTAACAAATACATAAAATTGAATCAAATTAGGGTTTTCGTTGTCAAAGCTACGATCGTTGAAAAGATGTTGCACTGTGGTACATCTCTCGCATACATCGCTGGAATGTACAACCTTTTCGGAGAGACGGTCGAATGATTTGTTGTAACCGTAAGGAAGATTTTCATCTGATTCGCTTGAACGCATTTGAAAACTTGACAATCATTGCGATCCCGAACAAATTTTTACCAACAAACTGACAGTAGGGCAAAAGATGATTACCTTTTTGATGAACCCTAACACACAAACCAAACCCTAAACATAAACAAATAACTAAACTAACAAAAACTAACGACTCCTCCATAGGGAGACAGACAAATATCTACACTACTCGTGTAGATTTATTGAAACCTAAAATGCAAAACTAAAGAAAATTTAGATAAAAAGGGTCGGAAATAGTCTAATTTCCAAAGAAATTAGACTAATTTCGGCCTAAACGGCAAAGATTTTAGAGAAATTCTAGAAGAGAGGTGGAGAGAAGAGGAGAGGCGAGAGCATGTGACCTAACCTAGTATTTAGTGATTGGAACTTTTTGTCTTCTTATGCCACTTGTCATATTTTTATTTGTCCATAATTTTTAAGAACTTTTAACATTTAAATTTTTCTGTTTTTATGAAGGGTTGTGATAATTTGCTGTAATTTTTATTATTTATTGGTTCCATAATATAATTTGTAAATTATTTATTTTGTTTTTTCATTTAATTTTTTCATGAAGGGTTGCATTAGTTTTTTATTTTTTAAATCAAACCCCCATACATTTTTGTTAACTATTCAAATCATAATGTGTTTTACTTTCATTTTATATTACATCAATTTTCTTTGAAATAGAAAAGATATAATTTATTCTTTTAAAAAAAAAGGAAAGAAATAATTATTAGTTTAACATATTTATAATTTGAAAAGGAGTATCTTAAATTATAATAAGTATCTGGCAAAAAAAATATAAAATTATAAATATTACTCATATGATTTGATAAAAAGTGAAACTCGTGCATTGAACGGGATAAATACTAGTTATTTATAAATGCTTGAGAATTTATACAAATCTAAAATGACCTAAGATGATAAATAATCTTCCCAAAATATAAACCTAACATAAAAATTATAAATGTAATATACAAAATCATATTAATAAGGGAAAATATATCATACGTTTTCCCTTAAATATTTACATTCTATCCTCAACAGTACGTGTATACTGTATAGTAGTGAACTATTGATGTAATATCAGCAGGGATGGAGTATAAACCAGGGGCTAATCTATTCTTGTGCATGGTGGTGCACGTAACTCACCAGTAAAAAAATAAAAAAAAGTAATGTTGGTTTTCAAAAAAATAAAAATCATAAATCAAAGAGACCCATTATTATAAATAACTGCTCTCTTTGATGTTGTAAATCAAAAAGAACTTTGATGCTGTGACTCTGTCAGCTTTTTTTTTAAATATCAAAGAGACCAGTTATTTAGATAACCGGTCTCTTTGATTCTGCTATTGAATTTTCCACAATGTTGGCGTATTGCACTGCTTTCTTTAATAATTAAATAGACCGGTTGCATTTAATAACAGGTCTCTTAAGTTAACTCTTTTTTTTTTTTTTTTTTTAATAATTTTTGCTTTTATTTATATCCAATATGTGTGCAACCA